AGCGTAACAATATACTTCGCATTTAAATAAGGCACTTTAACGGTTTTAAACGCGATATATATTAGTTAAAGTTGTTTAAAAATTATTGCAACTACGGCCCGACGTTTCGGATGCTTTTCAGCAGCCGTGTCACAGGGAAACAAACAACTAGTATATATCGCGTTTGAAACCGTTAAAGTGTTTCGTTTAAACGTGTACGCACGACTAGCTGATCTAAAATTTCACACTATTAATAATGGGTTCGTGTTGAAAATTAAACAAACTTAATTATGGGACTCTATAAAGTTTGAAGGCTTAAAATAGGACATCCGTTGTAATTGCCAAAGTTTGTAAGGCCTTATGCGGGAAATTGGTCACATTCTCAACTAGGGATAGATTCTAGTTTATTGGATACGCAATAAAAGACAGTACAACAACAAACAAACAAACTTATATATTATTATAGATATTTCTTTTTTTATTAATAAAAGTAGACTCCACTTAGATTCTAGTAAAACGGACACAGTGACCTTGCTGTAAGCCTTTTGTCTCTTAATAAATTTGTCAAGTACGATTATAACTGTATGATGTAGCGCGTATTACGACTGTGCTCTGTATATTAAAATGCGATTAAATTATATATTTAATCGCGTTCCGTTTTTAGTCTGTATATTTTTGAACATCCAAAGTCAGATCGACGGCGCATCTTGTTTAGACGCTTGACCCCATGTTTGCTTGTCTCCCTTTCATAAAAAAAATCTATAAATGCGTATTGTTTGTAGTTTAAGCGAGTAGTACAAGTTTACATTTTTATTTGTACGGTTTTAAACGTTATGTCTCGTCGATGTACTCTATAATAAAAACGGGTGTAGCGTTATATTCTGTAGTATTCCAGAACATTGTCAATCTATTCCAACACTCCAAAGACCGATAAATCGTTTTGTGTTTGACACGTTCGAAGCACTGCTGTGGAATGTTACTGTATGAGGCATTTTATATACTTGAAAAGCTACCTACAGTCTGTAGTTGACGCGAGTAGTACACATTTAAATAAAAACGGTTTAAAACGTGAAATATATTAGTTAAACTTATTTGAAAATTATCTTTAACTGCTGCAAAGGATCCGTGCATATATCGCGTTTTAAACCGTTAAAGTGTTAAGTTATTATTTAAATAAAGCTGCCTGCTTGTATTTCCACCACAAACTCGTGTTCTTACCTGTCATTTCGCCAGTGTTTAATGAGGGTACTGAGATCACGCTTCAAACGTAGACGGCTTCACCTCACAAGTAGTCATTAGCGGTCAACAAAGCGAGATTTGTGGAAAAATGTTTTCTAGTTTTTCACAGACCTTTTCGCTTATGCGACATATTACAGTATACTACATATAATTTTTCGTTCTAACTTGTATATAATTGCATAATACCAACAATAAGATGGTTCAAAGTTGCCAAAGTTTGAACCTGAGACGTATAATATCGTTCAAAGTCAAAAATCATGAGGAAATGTAACGAATTAACGACTCTTATAGAAGACTTCCTGTTCTTATATGAGATGAAGACAAACAAGCATAGAGTACGCTTAATGAAGGGAAAAATTGTTTAGGCATTCATGAAAATGCGACTTATATTGGCACCAGACATTTGCAAATCCACAAACTGACACCAAAATACGGTCTTAGACTCTTCGCGGTTTATGTTATATTATGATATAGTTATGAATTTTTAATGTCAACAACGACCAGTTCGTTGATTTTAGTAATATTGCCACCATCGGAGCGACAAGACCATCTATTCTTTAAGTTCCTAATCCAGTTCTCAAAAATCGACTCATCTGTAATTAGATGTATTTAATAAACGCCTATGAGAGTGGATAAACAAAATATCCTAGCAAACATTTTTATATGTATCTAAGTTTATCCATGTAAAAGCCTTATGATTGATGGTGTGAATGTTCATCCACTTGGTGCAATGGCCTGTATACGTCACAATGAAATTGAGTACCTCGTGTCAAACAACGATGTACTAAGTGCTTTCACACTGGCATCGGGTACCAATTGAAAGTCTTTGACTGTCTAATCAAATACTGTCTATAGTTTACGCGAGTAGTACACATTTAAATAAAACACTTTAACGGATTAAACCGCGATATATTAGTTAAACTTATTTTCGGCCCGACGTTTCGGATGCGTTGCAGCAGCCGAAGTCACGGGGAGACTGAAACGTCGGGCCGAAGTTAAAAATCATTTCCAAATAAGTTTAACTAATATATCGCGTTTTAAACCGTTAAAGTGTTTTATTTAAATATTTTTAATCATTTAAATAAATCACTTTAACGGTTTAAAACGCGATATATTAATTAAACTATATTCTATATTTCTAATCAATTTATAATTTTTCTGAGACAAGTAGGAATATTGTTCCGTCCTAGTCAGGTCCCACCCACCGTCCACAGATAAGGAAGTCATATTTAATGACGTTTCGTTGGATATTTGAAAATCGATCGACAGCGCTTCCTGTTTAGATGTTATAATGGCTGGGGTATCTCACCCACCATTAGTTTTCACCCCATGGTTGTCTGTCTTCTTCTTTCATAAAAGTATTAAAATGAGTTTTACCTGTAATATACGCGAGTAGTACACATTTGAAAAAACCCTTTTACGCTTTAAAACACAAAATATAGTCGTTAACTTGTTTGTAACTTATTTTAACTACGGCCAGACATTTCGGATGCATTGTATTAGCCGTAGTCTATGGGGAGGATGTTCCTTATGTAAATCAAAATTATTCTATATCGCTTACTAAGAAGTGCCTTAAATAAATATTATTTAAAAAAGAAACCTACTTTTCAGCTCATCACGCGGGTAGTTGTAAATAAATTCATGCTATGTTTCAATTGCTACCTCAAAAACGTGACTCTACATCACTTCAATATATTTTGCAATAATGTGGCATTACAAGCTTCAAATTCTCCTGTTTACGCGAGTAGTACACATTTAAATAAAACACTTTAACGGTTTAAAACGCGATATATGACAGCCGTGGTCACGGGGAGTCTCCCCGTGACCACGTCTGCTGCAAAGCATCCGAAACGTCCGGCCGAAGTTAAAAATCATTTTCAAATAAGTTAAACTAATATATCGCGTTTTAAACCGTTAAAGTGTTTTATTTAAATTCGAAATTCTCGTAAAAATTCTTGGTGTATCGTTAAAAAATCATATCATACATTTTTATGTCGAGCAAAATAATATAATAACAACGAACCACTCTCTCGGAATGAATATCACAGCGCAAACGGATTACTACTCGAATTTCGTCTCTATCTTATTTTCTTGAGCTTAAGTGTAGCGCACCTTTACTTGTTTTATCAATATTACGAATATAGTAAAAGGGCTATGTTAGCCACATAACCAGATGACGTCACTACACCAAGGCTTTTGTTGATTGTTTAAAGCGGTTCTTAAGTTATAATCAGTTTGATGTAACAGGTTCGAGTCCGATTGTAAAAAAAATACTTAATAAGTATTCTAATCAGTAAAGATTGGCAATAAATAGTATTAATGTTCGTCATATATAATCTCTACTTTTAACAAAAAAAAAACCATTCGCCGGTTTAAATTTGATGTATATTTGTTAAGGAGAAGTTTCGGATAAAACTCAAATCCCATTAAGTGACATGGTGATCTAAACGATGCCAAATTTTGTTTCGGCTCTAATCTGTGGATTACCAAATAATATTTTTAAATAAAACGGCTGTTGCAAAGCATCCGAAACGTACAGTCGTAGTTAAAATAAATTCTAGACTATTTAGCAAATATATCTCACGTTTTAAGCCGTTAAAAGTGTTTAATTTAAATTTGTTCGCGTCCACATAGCGCACATTTTAAGCTTCACAAATATCAAATAAGCAACTTAATATCTACGAAGTATTATGATTTGCCTCACAAATGCGAGGTAGCCCGTTCCACGGCATGATTCTGCATTAAATAACACTATAGCGCATTGTTATCTGTGGAAAGGAATATTTTATCATAACTGGGAATCTTTAAAGGCTTCTAGTGACAAAGAACTACTCGACGCGATGTCGTTGAAAGCTCTGGGACGGGCAGCTTATTAAAACTGCTTATACGGACCTAAGATATGAACCTTAAGTTTAGTTAAGTACTTTGCGAGTCGTATTACGTCTAAGTTCTTAAGCATGAAATATTTGTGGCAAACATTGGTGGTGGTATTTAAGTGAAATGTCTATTCTGTTCTGGAGCATGACGAAGACTCATGTCTGCCTACCGCGTAATTATGAGCAGGGATGAAGGGACTCATTTTTGTGTCCGTTTGAGTGGTCGTAATCATGAACAGGGATGTAGGTGATCTGTGACAGCATCTTTCGTTTTCCGGGATTCGAACCTGGGTATTCTTATGCTTAAATCAATGCCAGGCAACGCGTTTGCAGATTAAGCTAGTGTCTAATTAACAAGTCGATTATAATTATTATAGGCCCTGAAAATGAGTCGTATTGATTTGATTTTTTTTAATTTATTAAATTTTAAACGTGTGTAAAATAATTTTCAATGTAAAGCAGACAATATTTTGAAATATAATTACATCTAAAACATTTTTACTATATACATTTATAAACATAAAACACTATTACCGATTTAAAACACGGAATATATAACTTAACTTCAGATCGTATTTAAAATGTGTTCCGTTTAAAAGCGTTGTGAACGGTTAAAATTGTTTTATTTCGATAATACTCGCGTAAACTATTCTTTTATATTAATAAACAACCCACCACTGCCAAAACATACATGTCCATATTTTTATAAACAATTTACATATATAATAGAATGTCGTTTTATAAACTTTAACAATCTATAAGCAATTAGTAACAAATTGATAAATTGACTTTACCTCAATCAAACGATAGTTGTATCGGATTCCGGGTTGGTTTAACAATTAACTTAGCTCAATTTTCCCCGTTCCGAGTTGATTTAATCACTTTGCTTAATTATATTGACTTAGAATGGTGAGTTTCTGTAGATCACGTTTTCTCGGGATACGAAAATTTTCAAAATTCACAAACTTTTAGTACGTGCTGGTAATCGAATCGGCTTACTTCACTTCTAGTATTGGTCTAACGGTTTTCCTTCCATTCTTATAGGAGAATGGAGGTTGGACTAAAGACTGGAAGAGTATTACAAACGTGTATAGACACGTTTTAAATAATACTCTCAGCCCAATTTTAGATAGAAAAGTAAGTATTCACTTAGCGGCTTAAAACATGAAAAATATTAGTTATTTTTAATTTAATTTAACGTTACGTGGGGAATACGTTAACTAATATATTTCGGCTTTTAAACCGTTACAGGTGTTTTGTTTAAATATCTACAACTCTAATAAACTAAAGACAATACATAAAGATAATATGTTTATAGTGAGTTTTGAACGTATATCTGTGTTTGGTCCAGGTATTTTCTCTACAGGCATATAGTTTTATTTTTATTTGACCAACGGAAACGATTGAATCTGCTCGAGTTTCGAACTCACAGCTCAAAAGAAGTGTGTTAGTGTTGAAACTTTTTTTATCGTGGAGAACTCCTTTCGGATATCAACAAAAGTAGCAAATAGGTTATCGGACTAAAACCTAATAAACACCCCCATTAGAACTGAGACAATAAAGGCAGCACTAACTTATATGCATTTAATTAAAAACCGATTAATACCTCATCAAAACACGCTTAAATACTGTCACATCATAAAGACCCAATTTATCATGAAAGGAGAGAGTACTGCCAGCACGACCAGGGAAGCTAATTACAATAAAAGTCATTTTCCCTTCATAATGGCGGCACAACACGCCCTAAAACACAACACGTGATCGTTACACGCAATTTCAGACTCGCTCGAATGTGAACACGGCTTTTGTACGAAATAACGGCAATGTATTGTTCCCGATCATACTATGTGTATGGAAGTTTATACGCCATTTTAACTATTAGGTTGTAATATTAAAATAGATTTTTATGATAGGACAAACAACCATGTCTTTCACTATGTGTAACATCTAAACAAGATGCGCTATCGACCTTTTTAGACATCCACAGACTGAACCCGAAACGCGATGAAACTGGATGCCGTATACACTGTGGACGATGGTTCATGGCCGGAAAAAAATTGATATTCCTACATTTAATATCTAGATTTCGAGACGAAGTCCAAACTCTAACGTGTTTCAGAATAAAACGTGTTGGACCCGATAGGGATCGAATCTCCGACCCGGTGATTATTAGTCATACCTTATAAAACATACATAGATAGAAATAAAGCTATTTTTATAAAAAACCTTTTTAAACACGCAATTATTGGAAACGTTAACAATTCTATTCCAAAAAAGAGTTACAATTATTAGAGTGGACGAAAGGTACACTCGGTCTATCTAAATAAAAAGTCAATTCCTCACAATTGGATTTTTTCGGCTCTGTCAACATGTTCAGCGAATTGGATAAAGTTTGTCCGTGTGTTTACTTAATATTTGATCAATGGTGAATACGGAAATGTGCGGGAACTCAAATATTTTGCTTTGCCTTTTTCGTTATTGTATTTGTAAACTATAAACAAATAGCCAAACGAACAAATCCATAATTTAAATAAAACACTTTAACGTTTTAAAACGTGATATATTAGTTAAACTTATTTCTATATTATTTTAACTACGGCCTGACGTTTCGGATGCTTTTCAACAGCCGTGGCCACAGGGAGACTGACGTCAAAGTAAAAAAACACTGCTACGCTAGCTCCATCTATTCTATGATCGCCAATGAGTCTGACTCAAAGACACCCTCCATGATTAGCCTCCCCGTGACCACTGCTGCAAAGCATTCGAAACATCGCGCCGTAGTTAAAATAATTTTGAAATAAGTTTAACTAATATATATCGCGTTTTAAACCGTTAAAGCGTTTTGTTAAAGTAAAACTAAGCGTTTATATAGAAAAGAAGGAGCACTTATTAGTAATATTTATACAGAACCAAATGGGCGCAACGATGTATAATTCTGAACTGATTGAAATTTCGTTTGCTTATATTATTTATTGACGATGGCAATATTTTCGTAATTGCTTACAAAACGGTCGGGGTTTTTACGATAAATAATTTTCATGGAAACGTAATTGAATTCGACGGATTGTTTTTGAAAGCGAAAAGGGTTGATATTAATGAATCTAATATTTTCGGAATAGATTTTTAAATCAATGTATGTATTCATATGTTATTTATTCACATAGTATTACATACAGAAAGGTGCCATAAAGGAAGATGATTAGTACTATATGCTTTGCCCAAAATAACTATTCCACGCGGTAGGCATTAATTGGGCATCTAAATTAGTTTTTGCAAACCTAAGCTTTATAAATATAGTTGTTATCCACGACGTAATCCGCGTCCCGTCGTTCTTGCGAGTTAATTTTTAAAGATAGATACGTACGAGTAGCGTCGCGGATATTTTTAAGCGGTTTTATTTAACTCGACCCGTACGGAATTTATTTATTTGGGTCAAAAATTTGAAATTGACATTTAAGCACCTTCCCGTTGTCAGATTGATCTGAAATTTGGTACACACATTTAATTTAGATGAGAATACAATATAATGCAAACTATATAAAACAAAATCAATAACATAATAAACACAAGATGTCCGCCATTACAAAATGGCGGATTACATATTTTTCATTTCATTTTAAACCGTTAAAGTTTTTTTATTTAAAGTTTCAACAACTTTCGCAGAGGCCTCGTCAGCAGAGTCTTGGTGGAGTGCTACGCCGGGAGGGAAACTGGAAATGCTTCCTCCTAACCCTGATGATCGCCGGCTGTCTTGGTTCCGTCGTGTGGTGCAATACAGCTGAAATAGATAGACAACTAATTGACCTCACAAAGTATGTAAGACAGTATTGAATATAACCTATTTCTATGATTAATTATGATTCACACACTAGTCTTTCGGCAAAAGACGACTGACTTAAAATGGGGTAGGGTACGGTTCAATTTAATTTTAATTTCATTATTTTTATTGTTAAACAAAACAATGACGAGTGTTTTCGTCATTGTTAGAAGCGCGAAATATATTAAAAATATATATTTACCACGACCCGACATATAATACCCCGAAATATACGTTTACACGACCGATTGTTTTGCGTAGCCTTGCCTACTATCTGGTTCGACTGCAAATGGAATTATTGAGATTGTACAGGTTAAATTCGGTAGCTGCCGGTTGAAGTCCTGACCGCGTCGTAAATTATTTTCACTATATAATCGATTTTTAATTTATAGAATAAATAAAGTCCACTAATGATAGATTATTATAACAGGTACCCAATAAAGCAGACAGTACGAGAGTCACCATGCGACGTTGGCTATGCGTACATACCCATCGCGTTCGTTCTGCTCCTCTACTTGGTTTACCTGGTGGAATGCTACCATAGCACCGCAAGGATCCAGCTCGCGAGACGAGTCGATGTAGCCGCTGTTTCAGCGAGGGTACACGCCATGCGAACAGCGTCTCCGCGAGTCTGGTAATATATTTTTAACTATAGTATACCAATACACGAAGCCGCAGAGTTTGATCGTGCTACTCTAAGGAACTACTGGTCGGAATTGAAAAAATATTTTTGTATTGGTTAGAAAATTTATTGAGGTAGTTTTAGAAATTGCGCTGTGATTCATATGAACGAAGATGAAGCGGGAAATGTGGAGAGAACGGCGAGAATGAATCGTCATTATGGGTTGCGTGCGCTCCGAAAACGGTTCAAGATGCCAAAAAAGCTGCTCAAAATAACTATTCTACACCGACACAGTAACTAGTATAGTCCAACAACAAAATAGGTCCACATCGTATCATGTTTATATACTAAATAGTTTGGATTTAACCTTCCATCATTGAACTTCTTGCTTGTTTATCTTCATCTGTCACAAAAAAACCTAATACATAGTAGAAATGTACAGGTAATTATATTTGTACAAAATAAACTTAATAAATGTATAAACAAATACATTAGAAAAATAATACACCATAATTCTATCAAGTTGAATGCCCAATAGTGCTTTTGGAACATAGTCTATTTTACCTAAACTGTGTGATTTTTGTATACATACAGAAAATCATCTAATGGACACGAACATGACTGTTAGTTATGTTTCGATCGAGGTCAAGCAGTACCCTTAAGACGGCAAGTCCATAGAATAAAGATTGAAAAATTATTGCATAATAAAAAGTTACATACAGGTTACATAATAAACTTACATATTATATCTTTCACAGTCGCAAAACTAAGAAGCTTACCTCTCTAGGTGTAGATACTTCTTATTTACTTAATGAGAACGCAAGTAATTGTGGCGTACTTCAAATTAGAATATACCAAGAATCTAATTAATTTTAATCACGTAACAAGTTGAGCTTACCTTGTTATCAAGTTGGCTTACAGGTGAATATCAAATGTAAGTAAACTTTGCTTAAGTATTAAATCTATTTCTATCGTGATTATTTCAATGCAGACCTCGAGATTTCTCGCATTTTACAAATCAAGACAATTATTTTTTTTTTTTATTATATTTTGCAATTGAATAGCGGAACTAATGGAAGGTTTACTCATAAGAAATATAGTATTAAAAGATAGTGTATGTAATAGTTAAAGGTGGAAAAGTTTTATTTTAAAATTTTTATATCATAATAAAAAAAATAAGCAATATATTTACGTAAAAATTTAAACAAAAAGTATAAAAGTGGAACACATTAAATAAAAGCACGGTTCATTTATTTACAGAACGGTTCTAAATTCAAATTATGCGACGAATTTAAATAAAAATTGTAAATATTCCATTTCGGCCAGTTTAAACAGTGAAAGATCGCAACAGAGTAGATAATTCTAAATTTAAATTATTCAATCTCGGCCAGTTACCGGCGAACAATTTGAACGAGTATTTGACCCTTGAATTCGAGCGGTTCAACTACTGAGTTCTTGAATCGCGTCTTGTTATAAACTTTGGCACCGCGCCAGACCATACTTCAAAATGTTTCGCGTTAAGCTGACCTTTGAAGCGACGCTAGAAACATTCCCGCGCCCCTAGGGGAAAATAAATGCGATAAATATTCAAAACATCATCTCGATGTTTACGTGAAACATTACAGATTTACCCATTTTGCTTATTCCTTAATTAAAAACATTAATTAGCAAAGTTATGAGCCCACAAATCTCATGTCGGAGGAAAATAAACGCAAAATTAACTGGTCGAAGAGTTTTAAAAGAGGAATAAATATGAAATAATATTTTTTACACTAAACTAAGATTAATACAAAATGTGTATATTCTGAAAGTTGGTATCTTATTCTTGATTTAATTTGGTATCTTACTTCTTGATTTAATTTCTTTCTTTATGACAAAAGAGAAGAGTATGGTACCCCTACTATAAACATGATGTGCTGTTAATCTATTTTGACTTTAGATATTCAGAAATCCACAGACTAAAAACAAAACGTGGATTTACACTTCGCGATCTTTCAGAAGGAATTTCGACATTTCTGTCAAACAAAGACTAAAATTTTGAAGAAACAAAAGCTTGTGTTCGCGTTAGGAAATATAACAATGTGATGAGTTATATATATATATATATATATATATATATATGTTCTATTTTTCAATAAATAGGTTCTCTGCTCTTACTTGTCTTCTCTATCCGCTAAAATAATTTATGCCCTATGGTTTTTATTTATAATAATTATTATCCATTATTTAAATAAAACACTTTAACGGTTTAAAACGCGATATATTAGTTAAACTTATTTGGAAATGATTTTTAACTTCGGCCCGACGTTTCGGATGCTTTGCAGCAGCCGTGGTCACGGGGAGGCTAATCAATGACCACGGCTGTCATATATCGCGTTTTAAAGCGTTAAAGTGTTTTATTTAAATGTGTACTACTCGCGTAAACTATATATAGACAGTATTATCAATGATTATAAAAACCTCATTAATTTTTTGTTGAGTTAAAGTTTTGTAAATCGAAAAGGCGAGCTTGGTGAGCGTCTTAGTTCTAACAAGTAGTTTTATTAGCCACGTTTAAGTGCCCTACAGTCTACACGGAAAAGGCTGAAGCTAATTTTACGGCTCGCTGAAGTGAGACTGCGAGTTTTAAACTAATAAGGGTAAAAACATCCATTGTTCCGCCCTGGCCTAATGATTTTCCCGTTTATAAGTGACAGGGGAATTTTAAAGCGGAGTCTGATTAATTTTAAAAACTTTACCAAGGAGAAAAGCCTTTAACGGGCTCTTCACGATTTAAATAGTTGAAGTAACTTTAAACTCAACAGTGTCTTTAATTTTTCATCATTGTAGATAATATTTTACAAAATTAAGTAATTTGATTTAAACACGCATTACTTTAAATTTAATTTTCGCTAGCTAATAATATGGCAAGCGTTGTTTTAAGTGTGAGTTGTAAAGATTAATATTATGTATTAATAATATATATGCATATCTAAGAAATATTCAAATTTGATAACAAAAAATAGTGCTTGTTTTTTTTAAGATTATTTATAACATATACATTCAACCCTCAAAAATGAACATTCTTTTTTACAATTCCCGCTGTTTCTTCGCTTCTATTAGGTGCAGCCTAATATTATTCTCAAAGAAAATCCTCAAAACAAGGCTAATATTTCCTAGCATTCCCAAACATGGGTAAAGTTCTTTTGATCGACCCATTATAACTTAGAACTCCATTTCATTTCCGCTTCTAGCAAATAGTTATAATTCTTCTTGTTTTTAGGTGGAAGGCCATCTGTTACCACTACGTTAGGAGGAAGCGGCAAGTTACAAGGTATCGGAATGGCGACGCTTATACGACAACACAGGTACATTTATCTATTCGTGATTGCTATAATACAAAAGAAAAAAAATCCCTCGGCTACTCAACATCTAAAAACGTCGGGTTGTTAAAAACTAACATTTAGCGTTTTAAACCGTTAAAAGTTTACTCACGTTAATTACGGACATTATTAAAAAAAAACGTAAGTAAGCGCGCCATTAAGTACGTACTCTTCATTAATTTATCTTTTTCTTTTATCTACTTACACAGCTGTAGAAATTTAGTAAGTGTAAGCGATTCTCTATCGAATAGATTGTTAAAATATCTGAATCGGACGGGGGACCCGGGCGGTCTAGGGGAATGTTTTAATCAAAGGGTGAAACTTGGGGCGTGTGTTTCTTACTTATTGATACATTGATTCCTATGCTATTTAGATTAAGAAAAAAAGCTTAAAATATCGAATAAGCTGTAATCTAACATGAAATTTCCCGCTACCCCTGTTTGGGGCAAGGAGCAGAGACAGTGTCCGTTCTAATGAAAGATTATATTAACAGGCTAGTCGATCAGGCTTCTATAATCTATTATATTTTATATAAATACAAACCAGAACTTCTAGCTAAAGTACGCTTTTAACCTAGGTGATGGTTTTAAAAATCCCACCCATGTAAGCATTAAACTTGATGCGCTGTTGGTATTTTAGCTTAAATCAAAACGCGAATACACTTCACGGCGTTTACATCTGGGAATGGTGGTTCGTGACCTAGACTATTAGGTTATTCCTGACACCTATTTCCTATCGAGAATTCCAGACAAAGTCCAACGTGTTTTAGAAAAATTATAACTCGAAATTGATTAAAGACATGTTTAACTCTGATTACTAGCCATGTATTGCCACCATTGTACCACAGACCCTGCCAACTTAATCAAGCCAAATTAATGATTCTATATTTTAATAGCTTTAATATATAAAACGGAATGAGAAGACAAAATTGTAGCTTCTCCTATGCTAAAAAGTGAGCATTGTTGTGGTCTAAACCATTTATATCAACTGTCTCTGACATAAATTTAATAGTAATTACTTAAAATTTTAAAATCGATTATAAATTGAAGAAAATTACGACTGGGACAGGATGTGAACCGGCATACTCAGCGTTACGTGCTGTTGCTCTAACCAATTGAGCTACCTTGTCCTAGACGTCATCCTCGAAGTTTTTCATCCTATCAACATGCACATCTCGCGCAATGTAATTTAATGACTCAACATTATCAAACTAAATCATAGACTAAAATAGATTACACTGCACTCATGAGAAAGACGTTCGTGCTTACGCTTAATAACTTAGATCCCTAGAACTCGTGATAGACTTGAAACCTTACTTAAGTTTGAGTAAAGACTTAACACTAGACGCGGAAACAAACTTTAAAATTACTTAAGGAGCTTTCCGGGCGTGCCTTCTACTCTGTTGGAATTATTTAAATTAAACTGATTTCAACGTTTCAGCTAATGGTGAATTTAATAAGTTAAGTTTGATAAAAAGCAAGATTTAATGATTTAAGTGAAGCCAAAATTAAATTAGAATCGGTTTAGAAAGGATAACCAAAATTAAATTAGAATCGGTTTAGAAAGGATAATGAAAAATTGTAAATATTTTGACGGTTTAAAACGCGACATAAAATTCATTAAAATTATTTTAACTTTAGCCCGAAGTTTCGGATGTTTTGCAGCAGTCACGGGGACAAGGCTCTCGCCGCTCCGCGATTTCAAACCGTCAAAGATTTTTTTTTCATGTGTACTACTCGCGTAAACTACAGACAGTGTCTTATTAAATTTTCCTACGATTTCCCTATTAGGTCCTTACCAAAGTCGTCGCCTCTAAATTTATAGCCCATATATTGGATTCATAGCCAACCCCTGAAGTGTGACGTAATATTTTATTAAGCAGGGTAAGCCAACTGGGCCCATAGTTCATGCATATTAATGAGAACAATTTGAATTGATGCCTACGCATCCACTGAGGTACATTTCGTTGTAATTAGCAGACTTGAATACATTCTAAAAACATGAAGCCACGGACATATAAAGAAAATTACGGTTTGCACTCTTGTTATGCTGGAAATACGTGTGCATTTTTAGTTAGGAAATATTTTTGCACGAGTTGCTTCAATTATCAGTATAAAAGTACTATCTAAGTTTACGAGAGTAGTTCACATTTAAATACAACACTTTAACGGTTTATAACGTGAATTATATTAGTTAATCTTATTAAAATTATTTTATAACTACGGCCCGATGTATCAAACCGTCGCGACGCGACCTGACACGAGTTTTACGTCTTTTACTCGTTACAATAAAAAATATCCGTGCTAAGGAACTTTCCATTTAAAAAGATATTTCATCTAACTTTAATAAGTAAGACAGTAAATCTTAAGTATTGTTTGTAGTTAACTTTAGGAGTAAGCAAAAAAAGCCATTAAAGATTTAAAAACGAAACAGGTGGTGCTACCATAGCAGACTTCACTTTGACATTCCTCAATATCATATTCAAATAGGATTCGCTCCATCTTAGGTCCCCCACTGCAGCAGCAGTGGTTACTACTGTAGAATCCGAAAAAGTCGGGTACTACTAAAATTAACTTTAAAATAAGCTAATATATTTCGCGTCTTAAACCGTCAAAAGTAAATCTTTAAATAATCTCATAAAATGCCATCTTGTATCAATTACAATTCGTAGGCGCTGTGTTTGAGTCTATCTAGCTTCTTATGATGTCCTACTTATGTATTCTATTGCGTAAATAAATTCGATCGTGTGTTTTAATAATAATATACCTCCGCTGGGACAAATCTAAAATGTACACGGTTAAATGCATTCGAGATATTAACCTAGCTTCTAGTTAGAGCGTACATTAAAACTTTATAAAATGTCAACTGGAAAACGTAATTTCGACGTGGCTAGGCATTTTGTCGCGTTCGCGGACGGAGCGTTCATTGTTTTTCACGAGGCACCCTAATGCGACAGTTTTTCCTCTGTTACAATTTTAAATACATTTTACTAGTATGGAACAATGCATTTTAAACTCTCGCTGCGTTGTGATGCTTTTGAAAGTATTATAGTCTTATATTCGAAAGATAAAAAGCGTATTTTAATTTTTAAAACAAAAAGCTGCGGATTTGTGTTCACGTTTGACAATTGAGAATCTCCAAGAACACTGAGCTAATGGGTAATTAAAGGCCGATTCCCTATTCCTTGTATTCTTCGAATTTTAGATGCAGCTTTAACTGTTTCATAAAGCTTGAAATATTATTACTTCCTCTTATTTTGCATATGCTTCAAATAAATCAAAACTTTTTTTTTAATAAAAAAATATTCACACTTCGTAGAGTGGCAGCACTGATCACTCTCATCGTGAGTTATATATCATGGTAATTTTAACTAAATTTTAATTATTCGAGCAATCGAGGAGTTAATATTTCCTGATGCCATCCACACGTGAGTGCGAAACGTCGAGAACTTCTTCTCGCTTCCATCGGCTGAACAGCCAGAAAGATGATATGCTGAATGATGGCCGTGAAAGCCTTACTCAATTTATCATGGTCTTAGGTTAGAATTTTGACTTTAACTACTAAAAACTAAAAATTATAAATTAAAAATCGATTATGAAATGTAAAAAAAATACTCGGGCAGGGCTTGCGCCGACACGGTAGCTCAATTGTTTAGAGCACAGGACGTTGTGGATGCCGGATCAAGTTCTGCCCGTCTCGTATTTTTGTTCAGTTTGTAATCAATTTTTAATCATCATGTATAGTATCATATCAATTTATTAAACTATAATAAAATTATAGGTATACTATGAACGGGTGAACACACACAGTGCAAGTACGTCGTTCGCGCATGCGTGTTGCGGTCAGCGGGATGCGTCAAGAAACTTAGTCTTGGACACTAAAACACCAATCACTAAAGTGAGGTTCAGCAAAGGCTTCGCGTTCGCTAACATTGAAGCAGCTAGCGGTATGTACTTATATTGTTTTCTACTCATGCTAGAGCTTAGTTAATTTTTTATGACAAAGGCGGGATTCAAATCTGCGACAAAGTTGCTATTTGTTGTAGCCAAGGTTTTGTATGTCATAGAGAGCATTTTTTTGCGTATATTATATATTTGAGACCAATTTTATGATAGAGGACCCTCTACTGCCCATTATATATCCTCACTATTTACTTTCCCTTTTTCTTATTATTACATTGCTTTAAACAAATATATCATTGTAAATTAGATTATAATACACATTCTCTGTGATTGAGCGACGCATAAATTATTTATAGACGCAATAATAAATTTACGCATAAAAAAATAATATTGTGATTATAAGACATAGATTGCTACCATCGAACCGACGAAACACTTCACTTTATTACCATCTACCTGTATTTGACTTCCGCGTAGAATAGTTATTTTGGGTATCCCAATTTGTTTTTGCAAACCTGTTCGTCTTTATAAATGTAATCTACCCGCGACGGCGGTCGCGCGCCGTTCTTGCACGTTAACCTTAAAAGATAGACACATAACGTCTTGGACTTTTTTTTAGATAATTTAAAGAAGAATCATTCCTTCATACATATTTTTTTTGGTATCTTGAACCGTTTGCAGCATACGCATCGGAAACCCACAGAAATGAAAAATCTTTAATGATAGCACAATGTGTATATATATAGCCTTCCTCGATATGTGCTCTAACCAACACAAGAATTTTTCAATCCGAACCAGTAGTTCTTGAGATTAGCGCGTTTAAACAAACAAATTCTTCAGCTTTATATATTAGTATAGATAGATAGAAAAATGTACTGTCGATTGAAGTATGAAAATATAAGTAGCTTCAGAAGATAATGGGTTTTAGCTCCTAATTAATGCAAATGGGTAATTTGAATATTAAAAGTACTCCTAACATCTTAAATATGGTAAATTAGCACTCGAATTTCATTCATGAACTTGTTTGATCTGTTTGAAGTTGAATCTAACAGCATAGACTTCTCAAAAAGAAGTAGAACTCACATCTTAGTAGTCCCGCTTCTGTTAAAGAATAGACATATTTAAGAGTCCGTTTTGCACAACTGCATATACGCCTTGATAGCTCAATTAAACGCTTTGCTAGCGCGATAAAAGGGGGAGGGTCCCAGGTTCCAATTCCGAGGTTACATGAATAGTGCCAATACTTGTTGTTAATTTTTCAGGAACTTTTTAATTTACATACAGTACTAAATTGATGGCACTAACAATACGTTAGATTTACGGAAATAGTTGACGGGCTCTTAAGTGTAATAATAATAATAAGTAAGTTAAGTGTAATGGTAGCAATGAACGGCTAATAATCGATAGGTCGTGGGTTCGATGCCCACCGGGTAAAACATATTTCTAATGAATTTCTATTTTCTGAAACACGTTGAACTTCGATGTTGAATATCAAAAATACGTCCGGGTCGCGAACGTCCACACATAAAAAGTCGTCAAGCTAAATCGCGTTTCAATTTTAGTCTGGACTTCCGAATATCCAATCCAAAATAGATAGACAGCATGTTATAAATATTATACCAAACAGCGAACCCCATGCCTTGCCTATTAGAAAGAAAAGAGGGTAGTTACTATTTAAATAAAACACTTTAACGGTTTAAAACGCGATATATTAGTTAAACTTATTTGAAAATGATTTTTAACTTCGGCCCGACGTTTCGGATGCTTTGCAGCAGCCGTGGTCACGGGGAGACTAAAGATGGAGGATGTCTCTGACGTCAAAGTAAAAAATTGCTACGCTAGCGCCATCTGTTCCGTCGAAGTTGGTATTTGGCAAAACTGGCCGGGTCCTTTAGGGTAGTTACTACTTTTAATTACTTACAATTTATTTATGTCCAATACCAATATAGGTCGATAGCACATCTCTTACAGATGTGTTTACCATCCTCGAAGTGAACCGTATGCCTGCCTTTACTCTGGCATATTAAATTGAAGTCTTTTATCCAAACGGGTTATCGTTACGCAATTACCATATTAATGAAAAACCTGCGAGGGACGTTACGATTTGCATACGAGAAATAATTAGATTCTACATCTAACAGAAAACCGCAAAGCTGAATTAACTTTAATACGACAGACGGCGACCGCAAACTTAGTTACGAGAGACGTTCGCAAAACATGCATCCTTAGTTAGGGTTTTTAGCTCTATATTACCTTTATTAGTAGGTACACCAGTTTAGACGTCCTAAATATCAACTTCGAAGTCAATTATGAATTTCGTCTGGTTTTCAGGTAAAAAATATTTATAGATAACGAGTATTTTGAAGTGATTTATACTTTTTGCTACAAAGGTGTTAATGCACATGTATTTTATTATACAAACACTTGTGTGTATAAGTACATAATATACATCTAACTTATATTAAAGTGAGTTTATGTCTTTACCCAACAGAAAGATAATAAAGGTAATTTTGTTGGTCAGAAATTATGTCGGACATTATTTCTGACCTACAAAAGATGGTTAATAAAAATACTACATTTAAATAACACTCAACAGTTTAAAATGCGAAATATATTAAATTATAATTACAATAAATTAAAAAATATATTTCGTATTTTAAATCGTTAAAAATATGTTATTTAAATTTGAACTTTTTAACTTATTGTTAGGCGAGTACTAAACTACAGATAATAATGTGATGTTTAAAAAAAACAATTTAAACTCATTACTAGAAAACAAATAACGTCTGAATGTAACAAAATAATATGTATGATAATCCTTTACACATTTTAATAGAATGAAAATTATTAATTATTAAAATTGCTGTTTGTATTACAATTAGTATTTATTCGTTTCATTAAATGAATATAATAGGACTTCATATTAGTGAATATCGTGTTCAATTACTGCGTACGTTTACTGGTATAACTGGTATATATAGCGTTTAAAACGGTTAACGATGTTCTATATAAGAATTGTTCTTTTGAAGTTTCAAATTACAAGCACTTAAGCCCGAAGAGAAATTGTATAAACTGCGTTGATAAATTCATCTGTTACCGAGCTACGTTCATACTTCGATATAGCTTTGGGAAAAGCAAGAATTCAAAGAACGGGGCGGAGCATTTCATTTGTACTGAATCCTTCAGCGGAACAGAACTCTCGATACAACAAAGAAGTTTTAAATTAATTTTCTTTAAAAGCTCACCCGAGTTTGGGCTTATTAATAATTATTAATAATCTTGCAGAATTCGAAGATCAAAGATCGAGGTTCTTCGCCGAACACGAGAGGTTTGACGATTTTATGGAGATGCGCGAAGGTCTGGATTTGATTGGAGTCAGCTCGTTTAAGGAGTACATGGTTGCATACAGGTAGTTAAAAAGTCTTTTAAATTCTTCCAGGTCTTACTATGTTCTCAAAGACCTCTCAAGATTTTATAACAGTCAAATATGTATAGACAGTGTTCTTCAGGAGTGATCAGGTCAGGAAATCGTTAATAAAAGTAGAACCAAACCAGGAGTAGGGTACAAATTGGGTTTAATAGTAACTTGTAAATAATTTGTAATACAATTTTCCCACTTTTCTTATAATATTAATTCTTTAAAAGTGATCAGGAAATCTTTGGAACCTAGATAACCAGAAGTAACATACAGGTACAAATTGGGTTTATCAAATTGGATATCAGCTCTCATTTGTAATACAATCATTTAATTTTTCCTTTAAATTTTATTAACTTTGGATTTAGTTTACAGGCGTATAATTAAATAATAACAGTATAAAACGCGAACTAACTTATTTTTAATATACTTTACCGTTAGTGTTTACAACACTACTGACGATACTTAAAAATAATAACTATTAACTTTTCGTCAAATTAAAAAATCTATTTCACTAGACATAAAAATGACAACACGTGCGGGTCTTATCCGGCGGCTACAATGATTACACTACCTACCGCTTCTTTTTGTCCCTTAATCACAAGGATAATATTAAGTTATTCTTTACAATGTAATTCATTGTTCTAGGGATACCGATCGATGTCCTTGGTACTCTTCTCAGCTGCTATTCTGGACTCTTTCTTGTCTTCTTCTATCTTGGCCTCTGAGAATTATTATAGAATGCAATACAGCGTATGTGCATTATACGGTGAGTGTTTCAAAGAAATAACTAATGTTAGAAATATAGTCCATTTTTTAATTGAAATTTATAAGATTTTTCAACAATATCTGTTCAATACTTTTTGCTGCTAGAAATTAATCATTTTTGTTAAAAAGTTATCAAAATGGGCAATCTTCAATCAAATCCTTTTGTTACAGATAACGAAAATATTCGGCACCAATTACGAACTAGATCCAAGTAGACAACTAGATCTAGACACACATCTATCAGACACCCTCCCTCCAGTCCCTGCAACGAATTACGCTTGGGCACTAGCAGACGAGCAAAGCGCTGTTCTCTGTTCCGCTCCCAGACCACCAAGAACCCTTCCTCTATCGCACGCTTCAACGGTAGATAGCCTCGAACTCTTCGCAGCTATACGAGGTAACTGCGCTATTGTTCCATCATACTCAGAAGCCATGCGCATTGACGCAGCTTTACGCGAAGAACCAGCTGAAAACCCCGTTCTAATCAATATAGAAGACAGACCGAACAGACCAGCAATAAAAGCGGCCTCCTTCGATGAACCACCTCGGCGAGCAAAGGTTACAATATCTGGCACGCACTCCAGCCATAATATAGCTAGTAGTAACGCCGCTAAACAGCAGAACAGACGGTCGTGGGCTGGCGTTCTGACGTCAGCGAGAAGCGCCAGACAAATTTTGGAAGAATTCAGCGATAGCGTCAACTACGAGCAAATACAAGAACCACAGCAAAGCAGAGATAACACTGTGTACTATTCCAGAGATTTATCTCCGATTTCTTCCAGAGATCCCTTCGGTGGACGAGCTCAGACCACTCCAACTGATGAGCCACCATCTTACGAGGAGGCACTCAAACTGCCCGCGTTACGCAGATTAACTAGGTCCATAACGGGCACAGATTTGGCTGGCCCCAGGCGGGCATTTTTGAGAGATGTCGTTTCGAATAGACGGTCCTGCTTAGAAGGGGTGGGTGTGTTAGCTGGTTCTAAAGTTGTGAGGTTACCGTGCAGCGAGTCCGGAGAAGAAACGCATCTTTAGATAAAGATATGGTGCAATATTAGGGTTAACAATGTATATGTATGTGAATATAAAGAGCTTACATTGCAGTGGAATTGAAAAAAAAACTTGTGGTTAATTTCTCCGCCATTAGAACTTATAATATTGTGAATTGTAAATATTTTTATAATTCGTTAGCTTGACGCCAAAGCTCCGTAGTTAAGACTCAACATGCCTTTAAAATCCGACAAAGTACGTCAATTATTCGTGACACCAGTTTACCATCCTCCCTTTTGGAGACCTTTTATTTTAACTTACGAACGAACAAAACATTGTAAATAATAACAGTTATAGCATTTCGTGTTTAGGGCAGTGCCTTTTGTAACACTTAAGATTTCATTAATATTCCTATTGATATATTCATTGCATTATAAGGCTGCGGTCTTATATAAACGCTGTATATCGCATCCAGCTTTTGATTAAGACACTTACTATCACTTAAATCAGAGGCATTTGCTATCGTCGTCCTCCTTTACACGCTGGGGTTAGCGAGTATAAATGCGCTAGTCATATTTGTGTAATTTCAAATCTGTATTCGTCGATTGTCAACATTTGGTCTAAGTACATTTATCGCGTTTATAGGAGACCACAGCCTAACGCTAAAACGTTTTAGTAACAACCTAAAGCTTTTATACAATATGTACAAATCGCCGTTAAGATTAAGCTTGTTACAATTACGCTTTGAGCCTAGAATAGATATGTATAGGTTTTATTAAAACTAGCGCCAAAGTGATACTAATTTTAAGTCGTGAAATATGAAAGAGGAAGGAACCAATTAAATTAGAAATCGCTTGTAAGTAGATGTATACTTTCGTCTCTAATGAGATAATGTAATTTATTAAATATTCATAGAATGATAAAACTGTATAGATATGCTCTTAAAATATTATCTATCTACTTACTAACTGCTTTTAGTATATACCAAACCTTTAACGGCTGCTGCAAAGCATCCGAAACGTCGGGCCACAGTTAAAATAAGTTTTACTAATTTCGCGTTTTATTTATACTAATCGCGTAAACTACTGACAGTATTAAGTACACCAAAGCTTCCTCAAAACAATGACAGATTATATTGTTTTTTTTTTTTTAATTCATAGATACAGAAATATCATATTAGCACAAAACTTTTTCTCTTTATTGGAACAAGATCTCGTTTTAACGTGTCTGTTGAAATACCAGAAAATAATTTTCATAAATAGAACACGAATCGTTTTTCATAGGAACGATTTTCAATTTTCTTTACTAAGGTACGCTAATAATTTGCCAGACTGTTCCGGGGAGCAATTTTTATCCTAATCTTAGTTCAATTTTAATAAAAATGTAGATAAAAACTTATTAAGTTGAGCGCAAAAGTTCAAGCGATTTCGTTGTGAAATTTTATTCGCTTTGACTGAAATCAGATCGTCATGAGTTATGATCTGTTGTAATAAAAAGAAAAGTTATTTCACGTATCAATCAATAAATATAGTCCTTAAACACAACATCGTCATAGTATATATACTAACGTAGTCACTAGACTAGAAAATCCCTCCATTTTTCAGTCGTGAAAAATAAGGTTACATAGATGCAGTAAACATTGGGTAGATAACATATTGAAAATAGAACTACACGGGACTTCTTTAAAAATATAAAATTATTCAAGGTGCCAATACATTTAAAGTGGATAGTTAAATAAGAGATAGAGATTAGAGAATAGAATTAGTATAAATAAATCGAGGGATTTCATTATAAGACAAAGAAACGAATAGAACTTGTGGGTTTAGACTAACCCTTCATTTTAAATTGAAAAAAAAACATCTCTTAGGACTATTGTTTCCAAAAAAATCGAAATTAAATAACTTTTTGAGGTTATATTTTTAAAGTTGAGAAAGTCGTGACATTTAGACTTCTGAAACTGTTGCTTAAAATAAACGTACAATGAAAAACAAAATACGTTAAACAATTCAAGTAACATTTTAATTTTACTTGATTAATAACACAGTTTATAGTAGTTATTAATTTAGTATTTCATAAATAAACAGAAATTTAATTTAATCTGAATTAATAATCGTTTTTAGATTGAAAAAAATTACGACACGTACGGGAATCGAACTGGCATTCACAGCGTTTCGTACTGTTGCTCTACTCTAACCAATTGAGCTACCGTTTCCTACATGTCGTCGTCAAATGATTTCAACCTATTAATGCATACACCTCTCGTGAAACATATTTATTGCCATTTTTATTCAATTCATATAACATATGTAAAATGTTAAAGATTGTTTTTAATTTTAAATAGAAAAGTAATACTTTTATAGGTAGAGTAAACTGATATACTGTTAAGCATCGATTTTGGTATATTATAAAATTCTACAAAGACATGACTCATAACAACTTTCAAATATAATTTCTTATAACATCTCTAGGCTTCTAAACATTTTCGCCATTGCGTTGCTCTAAAGCTTAACTAGTTTTTTTTTATAGCAGCACACACATCGCAGAGTTAATTTTATAGATATATCTTTTAAACAGTAGTTATAAGTAATGATAATATACTAATATTAAAATATTAGATATATCTTACGCGACACTGTCGGTTTGTCCCACCGTAATGCCATTTAAGCAATCCACTTATCTTTTTGATTGTACGTTAAAACGACGAAGATTGAATCCTGCAAACATGTACGAGGGAAATGTATTACTTAAAAGTTGGTATTTTTACAAAAAAAACCAACACTCAATGCCTCCTCCCAGTATTGTTTTTATTAGCATTAAGCAAAGCCAGGAGTACTAAGTATGTATTTATGCTTTTCTAAGTCTTGTTTGAGGCGATAGGATAAGTTGTATTATAAACGCTAAATACCCAAATTAAGTAAGTGTAAGGAAAGGGAAAATGTTAATTATTTTCAATAAAATATGTTATGAAAACTTTGATGTTTTCTTGATTTTTTTTTTCTTATTACAATTATTAATTTATTTCGCTATTTGTATGTGTTCTTACTTGGTATATGGGTCTCAAGATAATATCATGATTATTTGATTCACATATTGAGGTAAAGATTTATTCTAATTTGATTCCTTTTAAAACTAATCTAATGTTTGTTTTTACAATGCATAATATAACTTAAAAAACATTCAGAACAAGTACATTTAACTATAAAACACTTTAAACTGTTTTAAACTATTATTTCAACTCTATCTACGATCCGACTTTCTTTTACCATATAATGCCATATGTAATAAATTTATTATATTAACTCGCGGTTTTAAAATTACTACAGACCTAACTTAGATTTAACTTAAATACTGTCTGTAGTAGAACGCGAGTAGTACACATTGAAATAAAACACTGCAACGGTTTAAAACGCGATATATTTTATTTAAGCTTGTATATAAATAATAACTAATATAAATCGCGTTTAAACCGTTAAAGTGTTTTATTTAAATTGTACTTAACTTATTAACAACTGATATGAAAGTGAACGAAATTTTTACGATCCTGTTTATAAATCTGGAAAACTGGAAAATAAAGAGCAGCTGACGAAAGAAGATTTTTCATAACGAATATTACGATACCTTGAATTTTTATGTCCGGCATAAAAAAAGCGTTTTTACATTTACTTTATGACTTCTAGAGTTCTATTAAGTGATTTTATTGCCATCCACGAAGTGATAAAAGGGTGATAAACAATTATATCAACTCGTATTATGAAATATTTGTGTAGTCTTTAAATTTTAATGTCGACAGTTGAACTTTATTAGTGCCTGTATAATATCGATCCGTCTGCACTTCATTTTGGTCGGCCAGGGCGCAGTAGTCTGGCGCGGACGCAATTGTATGGATTCATCTTACAGATCTATTTTATTTACAGACAAGTAGTTAATCAGACTCCTGTGCCTTGCCTGATCGAAATAATTTATTGCCACGGAATTCGAATCCTCGACCTACCTTTGATTGAGATTTGATTTAAGTAGTAGATACATACTGCGAGGGTAGATTGAAGAAAAAGTATAAATATGTATTTTAAAACTATAACACAAGTGGGACTCGAACTTATACGCGGACAATGGCGTGTCTGCTCTAGTCTGCCTATGTTACTCTGGCTACTAACCCACCAGGTCACACATATGTAACCAATATCGTTAATAATTCTCCATTTGCAAGGCATGTAAAACCAATGTCATGTAACTTTATTTTTGTTTGTAGCTATACCATATGCTACGAATAAACAATCTGCCCTTATTAACTCAATTAAATCATTAAAGTCGTCCCAATTTTACGAGCGCGCTTGACAAAGCGTCGCAAAGTTACCCAACAAGGTGAAATTTTATTATAACAAGTAGACCCATTATCGGGGAACGCTAGTTTCGAAAAGTTTACAATCAATAAAACCTCGGAGGTCGGACGAAAACACTTTGAGCCTAGTGGATGCCTGGAGCAATATAAGTATATAATAATATTAGGTGCATGCATCAATAAGTTGAAAAGATCGACGACGATGGGACTCGGTAGCTCAATTGGTAGAGCAACAGCACGGAACGCTGACGATGCCGGTTCAAGTCCTGCCCGAGACAAACAATTTTCAAATTATTTTCGATTTTTAAATACACATAGACAAACATGGGGTTGATTCGATGACGAAGAACTACCCCAGTCATATAAGATCTAAACGAGGTGAGCTGTCGATTTGTTTTGGCTTTAGATATTCGGAAATCTACAGACTGAAACCCTGAAACTCAAATTTAATATTTTTTGGCTTTTCGTCACCCAGAAGTCCATTGAATGTCCAGATTTTCCAGACGAAGTGTTAGAAAATTTAAAATTGTTTTCTTAAACATGTTGGACTATCTAAAAATCGAAATCGATGGCCTAATTTATAGTTTCACACAAGTCCAAGACTTGTTTGAAACTATAAATTATCGAATTAATATTATAATAATTATTTATCGAATTTTAGAAATGTTTACGTATTTCAGACTGGTTTGTAGAAATTGTTGTAGAG